GTGGGGGTGAGTTAGACGGGTTGCTTGTGCCCACCAGGGCGGGTTTCCGTGTTCCTCCCTTAATCAATGTGACCTACCTACGGTTGGGGGGCATTGGCTTAAGCCGGGAGGAAACTTGGACCCGCCTTTGCATGGGGGATTTGGCCCTTTTGCAGTGTTTTCCCTTTGTTCTTATGTTTTTAAGCACCCTTCCCCCCTTGAAGGTCTGTAAAAAATGAAAAGCTGAGAAAGTGACCCTAGTAATGCTTGAAAAACGACCACTTATTACAGTCCCCGGGAAGCTTTAAAACCCCATGGGTCATTTCAGCACAAAAACCCCGTAAAAAAAAGGTGGATGAAGTAAGAAGCTTTTTTTTTTTCCCGGTTAACTCTTGGGGGAAAAGGGAGGGGGCCTTTATGCTAGGGAGGGCTCTTGATAAAGGAGCTTTTGAAATTTTAACCCCGTCTTCCCCGGATTGAACCCGACGTCTCCCATTTCCCAAATGTTGTAAGACCCCCTTTCAGAGTAACGCTTTTCTGTGAATAAAAATGAAAAATATTGAGGCTAATTTCTAAAAAGACCCTTAAAACAGTTTTTATTGTAATTACACACAATTCAAAAACAACAATTTACGCTTTTTTTTTAAGAGCGTATTTTCTCTTAAAAAGGTCAGCTACCCAGAAAAAAGTAAGAAAAGTTTTCATAAAATATATTATAATATATAATATAAAATAAATATATATATATTAAAAAAATATAATTTTATATATATTATATTATTATATTTAATTTAGGTCACGTAGCATAAACTTTATGTTGTATTTTTCAACGGTGCCTTATTTTTCTAAATTAACGTGCATTTTTTTAAAAAATTAAATTTTTAACTGTTTTTAAAATAATTACATACAAAATATTGTTGACATTACCCTTTGTGAAAACAAATACTTAGATAATAACACAGTTGATGTCACTGATAAAAACACCCCGCCATTTTAAAATATTTATGCCCCAGGGGTTTTCTCCCTTAATAACATTTAGCAAAATTGTAATTTCCCCCTTTGATGTTTTCACGGTATTTTTCAGGTCCCCTATGGGATGCCGGGGGTATGGCGCCCGAATTCAATTTGGCGGCCACGGGAAAGTCAAACCCGGTGATTTGGGGAAGGTTTAAAGAACTAAATTTTTACTGTTAGTGAGTTAGTTCACTGCTGATACAGTATTTCATCGACAAACCCTGAAAAAGGTGGGTGGCAAATATGCCGCCATAAAACACACAACCCCCCCCCCCCCCCCCACACACCAACATACAGTGGTATATAAACCACCAAGAAGGGCCCAAGGGGTTTCCCGGTTTCAATAGCGATATTATTATATTTGTGGGGGAACTGTTTTTAAAATGAGGGTTGTACAGTGCCTGGGGTTTAAAAAGAGAAAGTCAGGTTTCATTTAAAGAATGGGAGAGTACCCCCCGTATCTTTTCCAGCAAAAAAGCACCATTTCCCTTTATGTTGGTTTAAGGGGAAAAAAGTTTTTTGTAAAGTAACTAGTTAATTGTAAGTTCAAAAGGGAGCAGTGAAGGATTTAGTTAACAAGGGTCCCCATCACGGATGTTGGACGTCTTCTTAAATCATTTCCTGCAGGGGGGAAATTCGCCTTCCACCCCTAACATTTGCCCTTTTCTTAAAAAACTCACCCCTCAGACTTTCTTTTTCCCCACTCAAAGACATGCATACTGGCGCCTTTGTACCTCAGTTTGAAATTCATAAAAGCTTCATTTCCATTGTCGTGGGGTGGGGTTTTCCCCCACTGAAAAATCACTTTCGGGCCCTTAGTTCATCCAGTAAATGGACGTATCCCTTTAATACATTTTGACCTGGTTGTCCCAAAACAACATTACCGTACAAGCAAACAGGTTTTACTTTGAAGGGGAAAAATGATGTATACCCCATTCCGTTGATTGGGGGAGGTTTACCCAAAAACTAAACTTGTGGGCAGTAGTTATTAAAGGATTACCAAGGCACATACTGGGGCCGATAAAGCGGCTGGAGGGCCCAAAATAATTGACGGACAATACAAAAAAAAATACCAAGAATCATATCCCCCCTCCCTTTATCCCCCCCCCCACTTTTCCTAGTGGTATTAAAATAAAAAGATTATTATTAATTTTTTAAAAAAATCCACAAGAAAATGAAAACAGGGGCCCAAGTATTTGTCAGTGCCTCTAAGAACTTTATATATTATTGAAAGTTTTTTTTTTAATAAAAGACAGGTTGGCGTTAATAATAGGGTGCATTGGAAATAAAATTGATAAACCCCCACGAGGTATCCCGAAGGGTGCCGCAAATGGGCGGAAATTTTTTTTTTCTTTCATATAAACTTTTTAAAGAAAAAAAAAAATACTTTTTTTAAAAGGTTTTTTTTTCATATATAAAATTGAGAAATGCACTCCGATTTGTCTTTAAATTTCAACATAACCAAATCTTCAAATGGGCCACTCAAAACAATTGAAAGAAATTTCAACTACTCGGATATGGAAAACCTGAGGAAATTTAAAACCCGGATAGGGTATAAAGCAAATTTTTTAACTACAATAGAGGGGAAAAAGTAATGGAAGGGGCTTAAGGGGGCCCCTTTTTTCCCAAAATTTTGCGCGCTTTAAAAAAAATCGAAAAATTATGGAAATTTAGTTATTCATATAGGAAAAAAATACTTAACTCTTTGGCAAGGGAAAAAGGTTTCAAGAATTTAATGTTTTACGACTTTCTACAAGAAATTTTAGTCATTTATATCAGGTATGGGGACCCGGGGGATGGGGTAGCGCGTTGCTACAGCCCAAAAAAAATTTTTGGGAAATTTTTTTATTGTTTTTAAACGTTTTTCTTGCTTTTTTCTTTCTAATATTCTTGCTTTTTATTTTTTTTGGGAAAAATTTCGGGCACGTTTCCTTACCCTGTTGTCCTTTTTCACCTAGCAGCAAATAGGTACCGGGGGGTTTAGGGCACTGGGGTGGGGCGCCCTCCTTGGGGACAAGATTAAGGGGGGGCCCCCCCCAAAGGAAAAAGTTAACAAATCCTCGATGACGCCCCCCCCCCCACCCCCACCCCCCCGGGAAAATCCCCCCCCGTGTTTGCCCCCCCAAAAAATTTTTACTTTTTGGGTTATATTGGGGGCTTTTAACCCCCCCCGGTTAAAAAAATCCGGGGAAAGAAAATTTTGACCGGAAACGTAAAATTCTTTTTCCCAAAATAAATTTGGTTTTTTTTCTTCCAAAAATTTAAAGTAAATTCCACTAAAAATAAACTTACAAAGGAACAATCCCGGGAAAAGAGAAAAAATTTGTCCCTAAAAGGGGAGGGAAACAAAATTTTTTCGAAAAAAATAAACCGGGTTTTTTTCTATTTTTTGGCCCTTATGAATTTTAAAACTTTTAAAATAACTACAAAAATGTTTATAACCCCAAAAAGAAAAAAAATTTTGGTTTTTTTCCCAGAGGCCCCGGGTTTCCGGAAAATTAAAAATTAAATTTTCCCATTTCGTTTTTTCCCCCTTTTATTAATTAAAAGGTTTTTAAAGGAAATTTTTAAAATAAGTTTTTCCCAAGCAAAACCATTTTAAAATTCCAAAAATTTTGGATTTTTTTGGGGGAAAAGGGGGGCCGGCCTTTTCCCCAAAAATCTCAAGAAATTTTATTTTTTGTTAAATTAAATTAAAGGTTAAAAAATCAAGGGAAATTTAAATTTAAAATTTCCTAAATTTGGGATTTTCTTTTGGAAAAATTCCAAAATTTTGGTAATTTAGGGGAAAGAAAGGGAAATTTTTTAAACATCCCAAAAACTTCAAACTTTTTTTTTTAAAAATTTTAAAATGTTAATGAGCAAAGGAAATTTTTAAAAATTCTTAACATTGTTCCCCCTTTCGGCCACCAAGTGGTGGACCCCTTTACCCCGCCTTTTTTTTTCCCCATTATTGTCTCCAGGAGAGCGTATACCCGGATTACCTGCAGTGACTACAAGACTATATATCCATCAGTTATGATGATTCATCCACACTTGTGGCCATTTCTGTGGCTTCTGATGACGTCAGTTCCTGAGTGACTGCTCTGCATTCAAATTTTGCATCTAGTTTGATGGTGTATTGCAGGAACCTCACGGCACATCAGTCACACCTGTCTAGCAGAAAGATGTGATCGAATTTCTGTGCCACCAGACCCAGACCTCCACAGACAAGAACAAAATCTGTACCCTCTCAGCGAAGTACACTTTGTCTCTGGTGATCCTGCCGTCCAGCTTCAGGAGACACACTGCGATGCCTTGCACCTCTACCTTGCCTTCTGCCATGCATGCAAAGTGACCGTTGCAGTCACCGTTACCTCAGCAACGTCAGATTGTCTCTAGCAACATATGCTCATCCTCCTCGCACTAAAAAAATGAACGTTTGAGACTTTTTTATCTAAGTTATTCTCATTTTTGGGTAGCGTACGTTATGTTACTTCAGTTTAACGACATCTGCCCTATACTTAGATGTATGAGATGAGGTGAATTATAGAGTAGATGAGGTGACAAAGATATTGGGTTCGGAGGCATCTGTGGAATTATTATTATTATTATTATTATTATTATTATTATTATTATTATTATTATTATTATTATTATTATTATTATTATCAGCATTATTATTTTATTATTATAGTCATCGATCATCGATGTAACTTGACGAATGTATCAGGGTATAATTGTGCCAAACACTTGTATGGTTGGTTTGGTGTAATAAGTTTAAAGCCTGTCTACTACACAAGGATCATTAAGTCTGCATGTCATGTCTACGTCACCAGTCAGGGCTGCTTGACTTTTTTTTTTTTAAGTGTGAGGTATAGTCTTTGAATGCTGCTACGATGAGGTCTGGGTTGGGGTGATGTGTTTGACATCAATGTCTGGTGTGAATATTATGCAGAGAATAATGAGTAAATAAATTTAAAAAAATGCGAATATAAGTTATTTCTTGTTTTTTTTTCTTTCTATAGATGAGAGGTATTCCAATTGTGAGAACAAGTCATATTGGTTCCCCAGTATGGTGGGTCGTAGTCAGTGCTTGCTGCTGCACCTGCTGCCCCTCCTCCAGCCACTAATCTTCCCCATTATAGTTTCCGCTAAGTTCTACATTGGACACTACAAAACACTGCCCATGTCCGCTGAGGTTGCCCACAACCCTGGCCAGGCGAGAAGTATGCCGTAAGTACCTTTACTGTGTCACCAGTCTATGAGTATCATCATCACAATTGGAGAACTTGTGTTAGTATCTGTAGTCTACCACTTTAACTTTCTGTTCCTCTCAAGGAAGCTGCGAAGAGGCCGGTGAGAAGCTCCTGATCCAAGGAACTGGATTTATCCCTCCATACCTTACAACCTTATTACCTCTATCATTTCTTCAGTCGCTGTCTGATCTCTATCAGCTTAATGCTTCTCCCGTGATAGTAATAATAATAATAATAATAATTTAACCTGGCAGATAGAAATAATACCCTAAGAAAGATATAAGCACCTAAAGTCGGTTCCTGACCAGCCGAGCTGTGGCTCGTGCGTTCGTTTGCGTGCAGCCAACAGTAACAGCCTGGTTGATCAGGCTCTGATCCACCAGGAGGCCTGGTCACAGACCGGGCCGCGGGAGCGTTGACCTCCGGAACTCTCTCCAGGTAAACTCCAGGTACCTCCAGGTTGTGAGGGTGACGTAGTCCTGAGTGCCACAGGCAGCAGTAGCCTGGCCTCAGCCCGGGCCACAGAAATAGGAAAACACTCGAAATCGGTCACAGGTGTCTTCCCTGTGTTGCCAGTTTCCATGTTTTGCAAATTTGCATGTTGCAGAGCCAAGTTTTATATCTGATCAACATTTTTTGTCGATAATACCTTATATTAATTATGATCTTTTATAATTTTAATGTTAAATATGTTCGTTACTAAATCTTTTCGACTTTCCCTAAACTTAAAGTTATCTTCTCATTATTGTTTCTTCCATTTGCAAGACATGGCTGCTTATTGCAGAGTCTCCACCTCCACAAAGGCTACATTTTTATTTATTACCAATCCAGAGATTTTCGACAAAATATTTTCATTGCGCACCATCTTAAATGCAAGTTCAAGTAGTTGAAAACATAGACACAATTTACAAATTGTGTATCTTTTCCACCATCTTCAGCTGATACACTTCCCATGGTCTCTACCAAAAATTACTAACAGTACAAAGTGATATCTCATACTCATTTATTCATATGATACAACAACATCGCATAATACAAAAGAAAAATATCTTCGTAATACTAATAAATTTTAAGTCATTCCTAATTTTTCAACACATGTAAACAAAATAAACATAAGCTGTATCAACAGTCACATGAACACTAAAACGTAAAGTATATAACACAGACGATATTCAAACTGGTGGTCAGATGGTCCCAGGTGGCATATTAACCATTGCGTCATGATTAATTCAAATTTCAATTCTTATTTTCACGTCATTGGGAAGCTGTCATTTATACGGACATTTATACGTACGTATATAGTTTATGGCTAAAGGTGAATATTCAAACCAAGAGTTACCGGGTAGTTAATCACAAGACTCAAGGCAAACAGAATAAACTTTAATGGGTAGGCCTATAATAATTCTTTTGTCCAATAAATATTGTATTTGCATTATTATTTCTTTTGTCATTATTATTAAAGTTGTAAATATATTAGTAATGTCACAATCATTGTTTTTTTACATCGATTTTAACACTAAATCACTTCACAAGAATTTTATGTAGACTTACGTTATGAGAAAATTTAGTCCATCTTTGTAGCCGGAAATCTGTATAACGACGTCGTAATATAGGAAACGCTTCGTATCTCTGATTTCCATTTCATCTGGAGAAAGTCTTTAAGAGAGAGAGAGAGAGTTCTCTGAGAACAATAGTGACTTCCCGTCACTCTTACCACCTTCCCTTACTAAATATACTTTTTTTTGGCAGGGATAAATAATAACGGTCTCCTGCATTTCTTGCTGCACACATATATACATACACTAAGACTTTAGTCCTTAACCCTGTTAGTGAATACAATATATATAAAGGTTATATAGAGATTACATCCCTGATGTAGCTGGTGGATGGACAGCTTTAATAAGCACTGAGGTTGTGGGAAACATTTAAACTTGGTAAAACTTCTAAGATTCTTGTTGAATCTGTTATTAGGTCAAAATGTTTTTGTCACTTCTGAGCAGAGTGGGTGTTACAAAACTCTCTATCTGGCCACATGACGATTTATTTTCCTTAGAAAAGTATAAATTGATTAAATGGCCCACACACAATAGCAAAAACAAAGAGTTAAGCTACAATGAAACACACTGACTCGACAACTTTAAAGTGTTTATTCGTTGAAAGTTAAATAGCACATACTGCCCCAAGTGCCCCGGCATGATAGTGGCTTTCTTTGTACTTAGCAAATCAAAATTGTAATTACATATTATAAACTATGCAATGAAATAAAATCCTTAATCATTATATGTTGCTGTCTTGTATGTGGGATGGTCAGCTGCCGGCCATTACACATATTTTTTTTATCAGTCTTGCTGTCACTGTGTGTTGTGAAGATATTCTACAATGCTCTACATTTTCCATTAGTTCTATAATCTTATGTTAGAGAACCTTCACAAGTTTGACCATTCTTCTCGCTGACTTACAAGAATTAATGAACAGAAAGGAGAATGTTACGAGAAAAATATTAAAGGTGTTTTGTAATAGGACTTCCTGCAGGTGAAACTCTCTTTTCACTTAATTAACAGTTATAATTACTCTGATTATATTTGTTTCTTTATTAAGTAACATTTATATAATCTGAATCTCTAAATAATATTACATTTCCAGAGTAAATTTACTTTGTGAATAAACCAGCAGCAGTTTAATATAGACAAATGCAAAGTTCTAAATGTTGGACAGGACAATAACCATGCCACATATAAACTAAATAATGTAGATCTTAATATTACGGATTGCGAAAAAGATTTAGGAGTTCTGGTTAGCAGTAATCTGAAACCAAGACAACAGTGCATAAGTGTTCGCAATAAAGCTAATAGAATCCTTGGGGTCATATCAAGAAGCATAAATAATAGGAGTTTCCCCAGGTTGTTCTTCAACTCTATACATCCTTTGGGTTTGGCCTCTTTAGATTATGCTGCACAGTTTTGGTCACCTTATTACGAATGGATATAATTCTCTGGAAAATGTACAAAGGAGGATGACAAAGTTTGATCCCCTGTATCAGAACCTTCCTATGAGGATAGACTAAGGGCCTGAATCTGCACTCTCTAGAAAGACGTAGAATTAGGGGGGATATGATTGAGGTGTAAAAAATGGAAGACAGGAAAAAATAAAGGGGATGTAAATAGTGTGCTGAAAATATCTAGCCTAGACAGGACTCGCAGCAATGGTTTTAAGTTGGAAAAATTCAGATTCAGGAAGGATTATAGGAAAGTACTGGTTTGGTAATAGAGTTGTGGATGAGTGGAACAAACTCCCAAGTACCGTTATAGAGGCCAGAACGTTGTGTAGCTTTAAAAATAGGTTGGATAAATACATGAGTGGATGTGGGTGGGTGTGAGTTAGACCTGATAGCTTGTGCTACCAGGTCGGTTGCCGTGTTCCTCCCTTAAGTCAATGTGACCTGACCTGACTAGGTTGGGTGCATTGGCTTAAGCCGGTAGGAGACTTGGACCTGCCTCGCATGGGCCAGTAGGCCTTCTGCAGTGTTCCTTCGTTCTTATGTTCTTATGTTCTTAGTTTTATTGTAATTATTATGAAACAATAACTGTGTTGTGGATGTTGTTCATGGTAATGTGAAGTATTTAATACTGGCGAATATGAGGGTAGTTCCATTTTCTTGAATCATGAGCCATTTACCTGCAGAATGGATATAAATGCTCTGGAAAATGTACAAAGGAGGATGACAAAGTTGATCCCATGTATCAGAAACCTTCCCTATGAGGATAGACTAAGGGCCCTGAATCTGCACTCTCTAGAAAGACGTAGAATTAGGGGGGATATGATTGAGGTGTATAAATGGAAGACAGGAATAAATAAAGGGGATGTAAATAGTGTGCTGAAAATATCTAGCCTAGACAGGACTCGCAGCAATGGTTTTAAGTTGGAAAAATTCAGATTCAGGAAGGATATAGGAAAGTACTGGTTTGGTAATAGAGTTGTGGATGAGTGGAACAAACTCCCAAGTACCGTTATAGAGGCTAGAACGTTGTGTAGCTTTAAAAATAGGTTGGATAAATACATGAGTAGATGTGGGTGGGTGTGAGTTAGACGTGATAGCTTGTGCTACCAGGTCGGTTGCCGTGTTCCTCCCTTAAGTCAATGTGACCTGACCTGACTAGGTTGGGTGCATTGGCTTAAGCCGGTAGGAGACTTGGACCTGCCTCGCATGGGCCAGTAGGCCTTCTGCAGTGTTCCTTCGTTCTTATGTTCTTAAGCACCTTCCACCCTTGAAGGGTCTGTAAACATGAAAAGCTGAGAAAGTGACGCCTAGTAATGCTTGAAAAAACGACCACTTATTACAGTCCCCGGTAAGCTTTTAACCCGTATGGGTCATACAGCACAAGACTGTAAAATGGTGGATGAAGTATGAGAAGCTTTTTTTTTATCCAGGTTAATCTCTTGAGGAAGGTAGGTGCCTTGATGCTAGGGAGGGGCTCTTGATACAAGGAGCTAGATTTAACCACGTCTTCCTTGGATTGAACCTGACTGTCTCCCATTTCCCAAATGTTGTATGACCCCTACAGAGCTAACGCTTCTCTGTGAATAAAAATGAAAAATATTGAGGCTAATTTCTAAAAAGACTTAAGCAGTTTGTATTGTATTACACACAATTCTATAACAACAATTTTACGCTTCTTTGTAAGAGCGTATTATTCTCTTAAATGGCGTCAGCTACCTAGAAAGACGTAAGAAATGTTACATATATATATATATATATATATATATATATATAAATATATATATATATAATATATAATAAAATATATATATATATATATATATATATATTTAATTTAGGTCACGTAGCATAAACTTTATGTCTGTATCTTCAACGGTGCTTTAGTGTTCTAGTTAACGTGCATTATATTAGAATTATATTTATAACTGTTTTAACATAATTACATACAATATATTGATAGACATTACCTTAGTGAACAC